CTAGACCGGGCACAATTGAGACTTTTGACGATTGACTTGTAGGCCCAGATTCTCCAATAGTGCCAGAGTCTTTGTGACGTTTGAGACCAGGGCGTTCTTGGAAGGCGCTACCAGAAGCCAATCATCGATATATGGGTAGATGGAGACACCCTGGAGACGGAGGAAAGCTGCAACCACAATCATAGTCTTTGTGAAGACTCTTGGGGTGCTGGACAGGCCGAATGGCAGGGCCGTATACTGGTAATGCTGTTGACCAATCGCAAAGTGTAGATATTGGCGGTGGGAGGGGTGGATGGTAAGGTGGAAGTACGCGTCTTGGAGGTCGAGGGTGGCCATCCAGACATGTCTCCGAAGCAATGGCATGATCTGTTGTAGGGACACCATGTGGAAGCGGTGGTAGGTCACAAAACAGTTCAGTTCCCTTAGATCTAATATGGGTCGAAAGCCTCCATCTTGCTTCGGGACTGTGAAGTATCAGGAATAAAACCCCGTCCCGTGGAGGTGTGGTGGTACATGTTCGATGGCTCCTTTCTGCAGAAGGACGGGCACCTCCTCCAGGAGAGGTGGGGAAGGGGGCGTGGAGATGATGACAGGAGTATTGGGGTTCTGGTGGAACTGGATTCGGTAGCCTCGGGTCAAGATGGACAGTACCCACTCGTCTGAGGTGATGTGACGCCAAGTGTGAAGAAAAGGTGACAGACGGGTTTGCGCTGACTCAGTGACTGGGAAGTCAAAAACCCTGCTTGGAGGGTTTGGTCTGTTTGGTGTGGGAAGATTGTTGTCTGGAACCAAAACTTGGTTTCTGGAAGGCGGATTTTTGGCCTCCCGAAGATGTTCGCGGTCTCCATTGTGTGTCCGGAGACTGACGACGTGCGGTACGCCTCTGCCAGGATCTCGACCAGGTGCGGGGACGGTATTGTTGCCTCGCAGAGGATGACACTCCTAGAGCTCTAGAAGCTTTTATGCTTTTATCTAATTCTTGTAAAGTAGAATCAGTAGTGGCATTGAAAAGTCCCAGGCCATCAAAGGGAAGGTCTTCCACATAAGATTTAGTATCCATGGGCAGATTAGTATTGCGGAGCCAGGAATGTCTCCTAAGAGCTATTGCAGAGGCCATCGTTCTGGAGGATGCCTCGAGGAAATGCTTAGTAGTGTTGAGCTCTTGTTTTGCCAACACCATGCCTTCCTTTTGGATGACTCTGGCTGCCCGGAGTTTGTCTTCTGGGAGGTGGGTCAGAAGTTCGGAGAACCATTCTCAGAGTGTATATTGATACCTATTCATGCAGGCCAAGTAGTTAGTGGCCTTGACTCCCAATGCTCCTGTGGAGTAGAAGCGTCTGCCAAAGGCATCTAATTTCTTACCTTCCTTGTCAGAAGGTGCGGAGTGGATTTAGAGGAATGGATTTAGAGAAAGATGTTATCACCATCAAGTTTGGCTGAGGGTGCGAGAATAGGAATTCGGCATCTGCCTCTTGGACCCTATACATGTGGTCCAGTCGTCTTGTGGACACTAGGGCTGACGAGGGTTTTAGCCATGGTGCCTTTGCTGCCTGCAAAAGGACTGAAGACATGGGCAATGCCAAGGTGGAAGAGGTATCAAGCTGGACTATATCAAAAACGGCATCCGTTGCCTGCGGATTTTGCTGGACTACAGAGAGGCCTAAAGAGTGGGCCATTCTTTTGATTAAATCTGTGTATGACATAAGGTTGTCGGATGGGGATAGGGTTAGGTCCTCAGCGACATCCTGGTTGGGAGATTTATGGTCAGGAGAGGTATGAGCCTCAGATGCTTCCGTATCCGAGTCTTCTTCCATGGAGTCAGAGGAGTCTTGGTGTGGTATTTGGACCGAAGTGTCTTCTTGACAAGCTATAGGTTTTGGTGGAACAACAGGCTTGGAGTGACCTGCGGGTTGGGAGGATGACTTGGTTCCAGACTATGGTGGGAAGGATCATCTGCAGGAGGACGAGACAGAGATGCCGAAGGTCTCGATTTGTGGGTCGACCTTGATCTATGAACGGAGCGATCCCAATCAGAATAGCCCATCGGAGTCAACCACGGCATAGATGGTGGATAAGCCCCGTACAGGTAACTCAACTGTCGTTGATACCAAGATACTGGTGGTGGAGGGGGCAGGAAGACACGGGGGGATCGACTTCTGGACCATGGACATCTGGGAGACAAAGCAATAGCCTGTCTGTGAAAACCGTCCCTGTAGTCTCGGTCGTCGATATCGACAGATTGGACATGGAGACGTGGAGGATGACATTGCGTACTGCAAGAAATGTGTTGGTACCAACGTGTTTTGACATCGGGAGCCTCCGATATCATCGATGCCAGCGAAGTAGAAGGAGAGGGAGAAGGCTCAGCACCCATTTGGTGACTTAGGAGCTCTACCGTCTCAATGTCGGAGTAAGGGCGCTCCACTTGTTGGATGGGGCAATCCAATAGTTGGATGGTCGGTATCGGTGGAGGAAGTTGGGCCTCTGATATCGATACTGCCGTTGGAGTGGGAAGCACTTTAGGGGCATCACCCAGTGCAGGCACCGCTTCCTTCCCCTTCTTCGCCGCCTTAAGGGACTTTGAAGTGCCCTTCCTCGCGGACTTGTAATCCTTACTTGCCTTGGCCTTCTTTTTGATTGGCGTGGAAGCAGAAGATTGCATCTTCGATGCCGGGAGCTTCGGTGTTGGGCGGTCGACATCGGAGGCAGGTCTCGATGCCAGAGCTGTCAGTGTTGATGGTCTCTCCTCCATCGCTGAGGTAGGAGTAAGGGCCAATTCAAGCAGCGCTACTTTAAGACTCGCAGCTCGTTTTTTCCGTTTCTGATTAGAAAAACGAGCACAGTGACGACAGGACTCTGGCCGGTGAGACTCTCCGAGACAAAAAATGCACAGGGTATGACGGACGGGAGGAGCAAGTTTGCTGCTGCAATCCTTGCACCTATTGAAAAAACCCCACTTCTTCTCCATAAAAGAAAGCAAAGAAGAGGGGACGTTCGAGGGGGGGGGGAATAGCCCAAAGGCCTGAGGTAATCGGTAGACTCCCCCTCAACAGAAATAAATGTTTTTTTAAAAGAACAAACAAATAAAAAGAGAAAAGACAAGAAAATTAAAATAAGGAAATAATTCCCAAGAGCTGAGGCGAATAGCCAAAAGTGAACTGATCTGACCGACGAAAAATAGGTCTACTCAACGCGGCGGTAAGAAAGGAACTGGCAGGATGTCCGCGCCCACCCCTCTGGGCATGCGCGGTGGGGTTCCTGCGCATGCCCGAGGGACTGGGCGTGAAAATCCGTTAAAAGAGCTTGCTACAGCACCAATCGATCCAGCGCGTGCGCACTAGATCCCATGGGTGTGAAGCACACACGTCAAAGATTCACCAGAAACTCAATTTACCATAAGGTTCCCACCAATTCCTAGAGAACCGTGATGTCACGATTGTTCTATCATCACCCGAGGGAATGGTGGCAGGAAGAGCAGGTTGCTAGTGGGAGGCCTCCTGCCACAGTGGGAGACTCGGTAACCCTGGGGACACTCCATTTTCCCTGGCCTGCTACCCTTCCAATCCCCTTTCAGGGCTGACTTCTTCCCTCCACCCTTTCACCCAACCAAGAATTGTCCTGGAACTTGGTATCAGCTGCAGCCATCTCCTGAGTTGTTCCCTCCCCTGGATGGGGCTTGGTGATGTGATAGACTTTGTGCCCGACTACCAAACTTGATTACTTAACCCAGAGACTGCAGTCTTACCCTACCAGTTCTGAGCACATCCTGTCTGGGAAAATGTGTCTGTCAGCCATGTATGGCTTGCCTTAGCAAGGGCAAGGTGTGTCTGCAAGTCTGGGACAGGTTCTGACACTAGGTGGGTAACATAATTAGCAAAATAATCCATAAAAATGCTACTACTGCAACTCTGGGATATAAATCATATCCAAATACCTGCATTAAATCCTGCTTCTCTTTCTCGCCTGAGTTTATGGCCTTTCTGATAGACTTCAGCTCGTTCACAATGGCTTTGGCTTCACTTAGTTCATACCCACTCTGGCCTCCGGACATTTTTTGGTCAATTCTGTAGAAAGAGAGAATAGTGGTAACTAACCCCTCAAACAGAATGTTGCTCTTTTGGGTTCAGAAAGAGATCACCTTAGACGGAATGGAGAAAAAGTGGGTAGTATATTTTCTCCCTTACTAAAATAGCCAACCCGACAAAGAAGGTGTCAATTTATGGAATCTTCATGACGATATACATGAGAAGTGTTTTCCTCTCATATCCGATCCCTTTCTTGAATGACTTCCAAAATAACTGATTTTAAAGGAAAGTCCCACAGATGCTGCTGCAAGAATTTGGCAGCACTATTGGGATCTCTTTAATTGGCTTGATGTCAGAGACTCAAGTAATGTAGAAAGTGAAGCTGGTACAAACTGAGGATCATCTAGAGAAATCAGTTAGTAATGTTTTTGTTAGAACTCACCCAAAAGCACAGGCTGCAACTTGAATAAAATACACAAGAATTCTACATTCTCATGAAAACAGGGATGTAACCCAATGCAGTCAGACAGACAAAATGCTAAACTTGATCCTTGTGAACATGGACTCTTTTTCCCAGCCACAAACTTTCAGGATCTTTACAAATGCCTACATTTAATTGAAATATTTATATATAGCTTTTTGCATGCTCAAAGCAGTTTCAGATTACAGTCCCCTTTTGTAAAATGGCTTTCTGTGGAGAGAAAATGCAGTAAAGATTACAAAACACTGTGCACATTAAACAAATGTTGATTTTTTTTAAAAAAAATCATCTCTAAGTACAGTGGATACCTCCAGATGAGTAGTTTAATAAAACTAAGTTGTAAAAAAATATATATACTACATTTTAGAAGAAATACACTCAAAACCACTCACATTGAAAATAAAATAAGCATAGGGTTGGATCCTATGAACTGCTGGCAGAGGGTGCTCGCAGGTGTTAGAATCCATAGGGACCTCCTGGTCAAAATGCCACAGGGCAGAGAAGGCTGCAGTGAGGAGGGTGCAACCTCATCAATGGAGCCTATTGTGCCACTGGAAGAGCAAGGAGGAGGAATTTCTCCTGATTCTCTCCCCTCCCACATCCTGTCCCATTTTAGTCCACAAGGTGCCTAAGATGTCTGCATCAGCTTTTTGGTGGTCTCAGGGAGCTGTTGAGGAAGGAGGTAGTCCGTGAATGCTACCTAACTTCTGGTTCGTTTAGACACTGTTTTGAAATCAGAACTAAAAACTAGCTTCCAAAAGCTGTCAATAATAAGAATGACAGCTGTATATTAGGAATCAAAACTTCTCCAGAGAACTGGACTCAAAGGCTACCATTTATGACAGCATACAGAATGCTTTTTTCCTTTCCTTTTGGTCATCTACCATCTTCAGTTGCAGATTACTGTTCAAAGAGAAGGATGCACTAACAGTTCAAAGATAAGAAGCCGTCTTCCAACAATATATCTTACATCGAATTTGTGTGCAGAAGACGCAAGGTGTTTCTTGACGCTGAATTAAAAAAATTAAATTCTCGACATAATTTTTATAGTTTAGTTTAGTTTCAGAGACAAGATTAAGTACACTTAATTATGTTATCTGTGTATGGAAAGGGAAATAGTAGTTTGCACTGAACAGGAAGTCAAATCTGCAAAAAGACTGCTGACACCCAACAGGGTGAGAAACTTGTCTGAAAGAAATCCATGGTGAAACACCTACTGATTTTAATGAGCAAAATTACAGCCAGAATACAGACATGCAACTGGTACAGATGCACTGTTCATTACCCACAGGGGCTTGTCACATACCTGGACAGCAGTGGCCTGGATCTAGGAGAAGCTGATGTATATAGGCTATGTCTGGCCAGAAGTATGCTGTGCACCAGTGATGCTGCCTGCACCTCACAGACCTGCCTCAAACCTGGGCAGCAGCAGAGTTCTGGGAAACAGCAATGGGCATAGGCCATGCTCATGTCTCCATGGATGCCACAATCAGCTGGGAGCAAGCCAAGCCTCAGCAGTGTGTTGGCACCCTCCTCGGTGGAGAGCCAGCTCTGCACAGCAAGACCTAGTCCATCTGCACTGCAGATGGAAAGGCACAAGGGGAGACGTATTACCAGGGTCAGCCCTTCGGAGGGAGCCCATGGAAGAGCCGGAGCAATACTGTTAAGCCATTTGTGTTCCTCAGTGGATATCTTTGTCCATTCTAGCTTCTGACACTAAAAACAACCCAAGCAAATGTGCCCCAAGATAGGCGTGCTTATTTTGTGATTAGGTAGTGAGAGAGGATAGCACTAATAGCACCTAGCCCTGAATAACTGCATACAAAACCAAGAGACATGGAGAACCGTGATGTCACGATGGAGAAGTGTTACAGCACAAGGCATGCCTGCTGCTTCACAATCCAGTGTTTCATGTTTCTACCTGCAACTGTTTGATTATCTTTAAGGTAGAAATGAATTTTTAAAAGGGTCTCCAACATAGGAGATTTTGACTCCTTGTTTTTAATAAATGGAATTAGCGCTGACCAAAGAGTGACTGCTTGAATCTTTCCAGTAAGTGCCCATTGTTTGCTTGCAGTATGCCACAGAGAGTTTCCCAAACATGCTTTAGATTCCTATCAAAATTGCTTGTGAGCAAGGTGCTTTAAAACAATACTTCATTGTTACATTAATGGAATACAACCAGCATGTTTGGCTAACCTTTAATCTTGGGATAGTAGCAGGTTTTAAGCTTCAGAACTAGTTTTCTTGTTAAAGAGTTTGTTTTAAAGTGAAACCTAAATTAAATAAATACCAGTCCATTTTCCCACTTTCTCTCTCTCTGACATTTATTTAAGTGAGAAGACTTGCTACTCTGCATTATGTGTAAATTTCAGTCGTACTGGACTTCATTGCTTGGCAACACACCGGTTAAAATCCCCTGTGCTGATCAGAAACAGATATCAGTTTTGTTGTAGAATAATCACGGCTTCAGCAATAGACGGATTTGGAATTCTTGGCCTCCCAGATTGCTATTCTAAACATCCTGAATAGGATTTACTTCTGAGTAAACAGATGTATGCAGGGACATGCTGTTAAGTTGGAGGAGTTGAAGTCAAAGGAGGAGGAGCACAAGGGCTCTTGGGAATAATTTCTGCATTCCCTCAGCCAGCCCCCATGACCTCAAAAAAGCTGACGGTTTTCAAGTTTGTGGACCAAAATGAAGTGGAAATCCCCCCCCCCCATCCTAGCAGAAGTGCTTTTTTGGGTAAAAGGAGTGCTGATAGTGTAAGAACATGATGGGGGTGACTTTACCTAGATCCACCTCCTCATTGCACCTCGGCAGCAAATGACAGGTGGAATCAATTAATGCTACTGCTTTGAAACAGGGTTATGGTTTTGTGTTTTCACTTTCTAGTGAATGTGTACATTTTTAAAGTTTCTTATTTTAAAGCAGCAGTTAAGATCCCTGAAAGTAGATTTTTCTCAGCCTTCTCCTTATCTTGAAGCTTTGCTCTGTAAATGGATGCAATAATTCTGTTTGATTTGGTCCTAACCAGCAGACTGAATTATTCAAGTCCATTTCAATTATCTTCTTATACTTACTGTTGCAGCGTTTCAAAGCCTTGCTCTTTATACAGTAGTTCTTGCTTCATCTGTGAGAGTTCTCTCTTCAGCTTTTTAACCTTGTACACAAATTTTGTTAAAAAAAAATTAGAAATTTGAGGCAACTGAGCACATGGTTTATAATAATCAGTACCCCTACAACGTGGAGATATGACGTTCCCTGTTGGTTCCTTGTGGCTTCTGAAATAAGTCTTGCTCTGACTTACCACGCACCACAACAACTCAACCCTGTACCACAGCAGGCTGCCTTGTATATTATGTTTTGTGTATGAAATGCTTCCCTTCCCAAGCTCTGTTGTAACAGATCTCAAAGAAATAAAAGGGCTCTGAACCAGTGGCGTACCTAGCCTATTTAGTGCTTGGGGCAGATAATTTTTAGCACCTCCCTCCTCTATTTTCCCCACATCAAGTCAAAGCTGATTTACGGCGACCCCGTAGAGTTTTCAAGGCAAGAGACGTTCTGAGGTGGTTTGCCACTGTCTGCCTCTGCATTGGCCCTGCTTAGCTTCTGAGATCTGATCAGGCTAGGCTGGGGCTATCCAGGTCAGGGCCCATCCTCAATAGGACAAAATTATTTTCAGCAATAATCATGAAACAAATAATAATAATGGCCAGAAAAGAAATGCAGACAGTGAAAATTTTCTTTTATTTAGCTTTGTATACATAATCATGTCAGAAAACAAAATTCAAATTCCAACATGCTGTTCTATCACGAGAGCCAGCATGACGTAGTGGTTAAAGTGTCAGAGTAGGATCTGGGAAATCCAGGTTCAAATCCCCAATCGTGCCAATCGTGCCATGGAAGCTTGCTGGATGACCTTGGGCCAGTCACATTACTCTCAGCCTAGCCCTGACCTGGATAGCTCCCGGACAGCCTGATCTCGTCAGATCTCAGAAGCTAAGCAGGGGCAACATGGAGGCAGGCAGTGGCAAACCACCTCCAAACATCTCTTGCCTTGAAAACCCTACAGGGTTGCCATAAGTCAGCTGTGACTTGACAAAAAAATAATAATTCCATCACACCACTTGTATTCTGAGCAGGGACTTGGGAGGGTTTTTCGAAGCCCAAGAGCTGACCATCCCAAACATCTACAAGGCATTTTTGAGAACTAGGAGTCTGCCTTTGTACTAACTTTGACTAATACTAGCCAAAGCCTCACAAAATAGTGGTCGCAAGCTTCACCAGATTGGATGTTAAGAAACACGCTACCCCCCCAAAGAAGGGGGGGCCATCCTCCATTGTTTCCAAGGGATTAAAGTCAAACCAGAGAATCTCTGCAGTAGAGGCTGAAAGGGGGGGGGCTTTTTGCAAGCCCAGCAGTACCAGTGCAATCACAGGGTGCCCAGTAGAACCTGCTGCTATTGTGACAATACCAGCTCAACAGGACTGATGTCAGGCACAGAATCACAGTCCAAGCAAGGTGGGGAGGTTTGGAAGCCCAGCAGCAGTGTAATGTACAGTGCCCAGCAAACCCAGTGCCTTCTGTTCATAATATTAACAAAGGTTTGCTACTCTGCTACTCTGAAATACATTCTGTCACCAAGCAAGACAGGGATGAGAAGGTCTTGAGACCAAGAATTGAAAATAAAGTGGGGTGGGGGCATGGAAAAATTCCGTGAAGGAAGACAGAAATGAATGAGAAAAGTGTGGAAAAGAAGGAGAGAAATTAAGAGAGGGAAAGGATGTTTTATCTTGCTGCAACACCCTAACTACTGCTTTTCAAGATTTGGCTGAGCTGTGTGCAAGGAAAGGAAGAGAGAATGGCTAGACTATTGGAGAAAATGACCTGCAGGCTGGCAATTACTGTAATAGTGATCAGTGTGCTGCCTCGATTGTTACACAAGTTTGCTTCAGTCTTGGAGCAAGGGACGTTTACCCAATCCTAGAGTGTTTTTTGCTATGCTCAGACTTCCCTGTGCCCCTAGTGGCTGCAGCCAGAAATGCATTTTAAAAATTAAAGGAAAGATGTTTGGCTGGACACGGCATGACGCTGGCTTTGAGGGGCCCCTTCAAAGGCCTTCCTCAAGCTGTGCCTGGGGCAGACCGTGCCTCTGTCCCGCCCTTGGTATGCCACTGCTCTGAACACCTTTCTCCGCACATCTGTCCTTTTATTCACTGCAGCCAGTGCCTATCACAAAGTCTCAATGAGGTAACAAAACCATTTTTTAGAAAGCAACAGGGCTATTTTGGGGCAGAAACACACAGGAACGGAGTTCCGACTGGCTCCCAAGTTGGCCACGCCCAGCAGGAACTCATTAGCATAATAGGCCACACCCAACAGCAGGAACTCATTAGAATTGGCTCCATTAGGGGTGTGTGGCCTAACATGCAAAGGAGTTCCTGCAACAAAAAAAGCCCTGGGTTTTGACAACAAACAAGGTAAACAGAATAAGAAGCAAAGGGTGGGTGTGGCTGGATGACCTGCTAATGAGCGGTGCAGTCAGGGAGTGTTGCCTAATATGCTAATGAGTTTCTGCTGTTGGGTGTGGCCTATTATTCTAATGAGTTCCTGCTGGACTTTTTCTACAAAAAAAGCCCTGGAAAGTAATACATACAAAATTAAAATAAAGACCATTTAAAATTATTTCTTCATTCTTTAATCACTGCCAGTCAAACCTTTAAAAATCATATACGAGTTCTATAGTTTTGTTTGTTTGTTTATTAGTTCCATTTGTATCCCGCTCTCCCCGCAAACAAGCTCAGGGCGGCTTACATTAATCAGTACAAAGTACCTTAAAACCTATATAAACATTTTAAACATTTTAAAACAATCAAATAATCAAAGTGCTCACAGTAATAATTATTCCTTTATTAATTAAGATGGCGTGCTATGTGATATAATAAGCAAGTTTCCGATTCAGCCATCTTCCGGCATCACGCAATAGTATGGCTCGATCTCCAAGCTGGAGCCAGCCCTTTACCACAGATGTTCATATGTTGTTTAGAAGTCAGATTACCAGCTTTCTGCTGGGGGTGGGAGATTTCCCATCCCCAGCTCCCATTCCCCTGACACTGCAGGAGGAAATATCCAGGCAAAATTGGGGGGGGGGGGTTAAATCAGATATCCCAGAGTGATGATGTCAATTTTGGAGTGGCCTGGAAGTAGCATAATTGTGGCAGATGAAACTACAACATCCCCTCCAAAACTCTATGGTTCATCCATCCACATTCTCAGCCGAAGCAGGGAAGCCTCGGCTCTGTGTGAATTCCCTGACTACTGCCAACACGGCTCAGCAAAACAGTGACATGTCTACAGCCATGAGAATGTGGCAGAGAAAGAGAGACTTATATGAAAGCTCCGGAGGAGCTGCTCCTTATTCCGCCACATGCATGTGCTGGATTGCAGCTCAGAAGTTCAAGACAAATGCTTTAATTTTGCAAGCTGCCTTGTGAAATTTGGTTAAGAGTGAGACAGAAAGATGCCGCAAATAATAAATAAATAAACAAACTGATGCCTCAGAAGGTGTGAGTGTTCAAATGGTAGCTATCACAGAGTTGACACAAGAATTCAGGAAGAGAGCAGTACACTCTTAGTATACTCATGGAGTATACTCAGCAAAACAGTGACATGTCTACAGCCATGAGAATGTGGCAGAGAAAGAGAGACTTATATGAAAGTTATATGTTTGAACATCCTCTGCTATTAAAATCCCCTTGCATTTGGAAAGCTTGAATGTCAGTGAGAACCTTTCTGCCTAAAGACCTAGCTTTCCACATACAGGCAAATTCACAATAAGGGAAAATAATCAAACATACCACTGGACACATTTGCATTCTTTGCAGCGACAGTCCCTCTTCACCAATTTATATATGATGCAGGTCATGGAAAAAAGCACTGGCTTAAGTACACTTTCCCAATGGACAACATGTCCCTGTGGATAACATGCCCTCCTCATACATAACTTCGGCCTAAGTATTTTGTATTTGCTGTCTTATCTCCACAACTGATAATCTTTATTTGTGTTCACACAATGTATAAGGAAATGAGCATTTTGCAGGGGTAACAGGGGTATGCTAATGCTTATTCATATGACAGGTGAAATAACTGGTCACAAAAAAAGAACCAGTTGCTCTGTAGAAAGTACAGCATGTGTCAGTATTTAGCTGTGTCTGCTAGCATAATTTCTCTGTGTCAACACAACCAGCCTTGCTATCACATATAAATAAACCCTTGTTAGTATTTGTTGAACACAAAGGAATTCTATCTTCCTCTTGATGTTCATGAACAAGCAACTAATGTAAGAGACGTGCCAGATTAGAAGACATCTCTTTATTTGGATAACCTCATTACAGTAATTAAACTTGAAATCCACATTTAACTCACTACGTTAATTTGTCATTGGCTGGGTGTGCATGCCACCTGTTCCTATTAAAGAGAGAGAGGGAGAGGGAGAGAGCGCACCTACTGGCATTGTTTGAAAGAGAATGACAGTGTACATGCAGGGGAGGATTCTCAACATTCACTTTCAAGGAGCCCAGTACACTGTAATCTACATGGCAACAGCTGAGGAACCACATATTTCCCACATCTCTGGGCTTGCATTCTGTACCGTTGTTGCTCAAAAGGGGGCCCAAGCAACAGCCTTTCAAATAATTTATTTCTGGACCATACAACTCTATAAAATATTGGGGTGTATTGTTGGCTTTTTCAATTTCACTTAACTCCATTCCTTACTTCAGCTCCTGTCCTTCTTGTCCATGTAGACCCCATGATTCCCAGCACAGCCTTTTAGCAGTCAAACGGATCACCCCATTCTCCTCAAAGACTGCCAACTCCAGGTTGGGAAATTCCTGGAGATTTGAGGGTAAAGCCTGGAGAAGGCAGAGTTTGGGGAGAAGAGAGACCTCAGAGGGGTATAATGCCGTAGAGTCCATCTGTCAGGGGGAAGGAACTCTGTAGTCGAGATGAGCTGTAATTCTGGGAGACCTCCACGCCTCACCTGGAGGTTGGTAACCCTACACTACTCTCTTTTTCAGCACAGATCCAACCCATCAAGAAAACTTAAAATCAAGTTCATGTTATTTGTGTTTGTTCATTCATCTGCACAGGGAATATTTATTTCAGACACTTAGGACATTTTAGTGCCCAGATACAAACACTGATTTCCAGTATGGTTTTGGGCTTGAATCTTCTTGACTGGTGACATTTTTTGGTGGAAAAATAGGAGCAGTATGATGCTGTTAATACCATCCGTCATAGGGTTGCCAAGTCCATCTTCCACCCCCAGCGGGGGACTTTGGGGGCGTTCCTGGAGGGGGTGGGGCATCCCCAACATGATGATGTCAAGTTGGGGATGTCTGCCTCCCCCCCACCCGCCCGTGCGCCGGATCTCCAGAAACGGCAGGTCCCTGCACTTAAAGTAGCCAGCAGCCGGCGTTTCCCCTTTAAGAGCAGCTGCATTTCCCTTTTAAGAACGAAGCTGGCATTTCCCTGCAAGCTTGCGGAGTTCGCGCTTGGGAGGAAACACACTTGAAGGGAGAGTGATGGGTGGCTGTGGGTGTTGGGGGTGGGGCTTCTGTAGACCCTCCCCCAAAACGGGGGACCCCTGGCAAACCCGGGGGTTTGGCAACCCTAATCCGCCATAGTATCTGGATCATTTGGCTGAGAGGTATATTGGGGGCATTACACTTCAGTGTGATACTGCCCCTGTGTGGCTGGCTGCTGAGAAACACTTGTACTACAAACTCCATCTTGTCCTGTATGCCGTGTGACATCTACATGGAAGTACTGGACGAGGTTGTCCAAAGGAGTGTTAACTACAGAGGCCCAGTGTGGTTATTAGTGTATCAGAATTGGGATCAGGTTTGAATCCCCAATCTGCCATGGAAGCTTGCTGGGTGATCTTGGGCCACTCACCCAACATTCAGACCGATTTCACACAAGAGCTGCGCCGCAGTTGCGCCTCCTTTTGCCCCGCTTCTATTGGTCAATTTCTCACTTGAAGCCGCATGGCCGCATTTTGACCTGCGGCTTCGCCCGATTTTCCCCGTGGTTTCGTGATCCTGTTTTTTGAGGATCACGAAACAGCGGGGGAAACTGGGCGAAGCCGCGGGTCAAAATGCGGCCGTGTGGCTTTGAGTGGGAAATTGACCAATAGAAGCGGGGTAAAGGGAGGCGCGACCGCGGTGCAGCTCTTGTGTGAAATCAGTCTACGCCACATCTACCTCACAGGGTTTTTGTGAAAGTAAAATTGAAGATAATAGAACAATGCACACTGCTTGGAGTCCCCATTGGGGAGCAAGGAGAGGTATCATGAGGTAAAGAATACTTAAATATTACTTCTCCTTTTCTGGTCAGTCAGGTGAGACTATAGATGTCCTAAGTGAGCAACTGGAATTGATACCGGACTAGAGGTAGGGCAATAAACTGCAGCTGATTCCAGTTAAGCCTGAGATGGTGTTCATTCACAATGTACCTAATCAAGGATTTCAATTTCAGCTATTCGGGATTTCAATTTCAGGGTTGCCAGATGCTCTGGGTAGGAATAAACATGAAAGTATAAATTTCCCTATGTGGCACAATAGTGCCTTTAGCAAGCTTTGGCTGGTGTACCAGAGACAGTCAACCATGCCTTGATGACTTCCAAGTTAGGCCTGTTGCAACGCATTCTTCTTGGGGCTGCTTCTGAAGACTCTTTGGAAGTTCCAATAGGTACAGAACTGCAGTGGCAGGATTGCTTGCTGGAATGAGCTACAAAGAATAAATTTCACCAGTTCTGACAGATTTAATCTGGCAGCGAATTCACTTCTGGACAGTATTCAAGGTATTTTATAAAGCCCTAAAAGATCTGGGATCAGACTACTTAAAGAATTGCCTTCTTCCATATGAGACTGCTCATCAGCTAATTTCTTCAGAGGCAACCCTGTGCCCCCCCCCCCGTCAGAAGCTGGGTGGCTACATACAAGGGCCTTTTCTGTCAACATCCCTTTCAGAAATCACTCCCCACAGTGATTCTTCTGGCACCCAGTTTGCTGAGCTTTAGATCCACACAAAAACATTTTTATCCCCCAAGATTTGTTGATTTAGTTCAGCATCGAGCGGTTTTTTCCTGGCTCAGTTTGATTATTTATTGTACTACTTTCTTTCTTTCCCCCCTGTTTTTATGTGGTGGACTTTAGTGAAAAAAAATGAGCTGCTTTTTTATTGATTGTTTTGTTTTCGATTTTTATTGCTGGTCTCACTGTCAGCTGCAGTTGATTATTGATTAACCTGTTTGTTCGGGAAGATGCATTATTTGCAAACAATATAGAATATAAATATGTTAAATTAAAAAAAAAAAACACCCATGCATTGGAAGTGCACAGACCTGTATCTTCCAATACACTACAATTAAGCACTCTTACCCTTAATCTTGTAGTGGAGATTTCTGCCTTCAGAATATCAGGGTCATACTTAGTGCTAGAAGAGGAGCTTGAGAATACTTATTAGAAGCATGGAAAAAAGGAGAAAAACATTATTCAGTCAGAAAATCGTTATTTCTCTGCTTGTGTAGTTTTAGAACTGCAAGGTTAACATAATATTAGGCATAAAGTAATCCTCAGTGCTTCTCTTTAAAGCAACATACTGAAAGTTCCTTTATGTAAATAAATATTCAAAACATTTTTGGTTTCTATCACAGCATTAGTACATAAAGGGAGGCAGAAGCATGACTAAATATTTCACAGCACAATAAACAACTAGGTTTTCCCTTAGCATCAACAACACGTAAGATTCAAAGTAAACAAAGGCATGTTCAGGGTTACAGACATACAAGTTGAGCAAATTCTCCAGAGATCCACAGTCTCAGAGCATTTCACGTTTGATAATTTATGATGGTATTCTTTTGACTTGTAAGCCATCCTGAGCAGAACTCTGGAGAGGTGGCATATAAATTCCCTATATAAATTCCCTAAACAAATACATAAATGATGTGATAGTCCTAAGTCTGAAACTGCTGCTTCCT